GACAATTGCATTTATAAAATTTAATTTCTCAAAAACTATTTAACAAACTTATTTAAAAAAAAATTTTTTTTTGACATTTAAAGTTACATAAAGATTTAGAATGACTAAAATATTAATTATGGCAAAATGCAAAAGTGAATTTAAAATTAAGGAGTTCAAGTTTTTGACCGCTTGTCCTTATTTTCCAGACCCCCAGATTCATTCAGAATAAAATTTACTATGGTTTTTATCATATTAATACATTTTAAATATACTCTCAAATAAATAGGTTCAACATTGATCTACACACTGCAAAAAATTTTCGTATATCGTAGCACCAAAAATGGTGGCACTTACTTTACGTCAAAGTGGTGCTCCACTAAATCTTCCATTACACCAAGAATGTTCTTTTACACTACTTGGTATAAAGTAGACGCCACCCTTTTGTATTCAGCAGCATTATAATTTATAATAACAGTACGATAAGATACACATAAGAATCAGTAAATTTATTTTTGCAATGCAGAAAAAAGTAAGAATCATTAATTTAGAATGCATATTTATATATATCCTCTAATTCTTAAAATAAAATGAATTTGTGAATCAAACATGCACGTAGCTTGAACAGAATAAAGATGAATTCGAATTCAGATAAACGAAATTAAAACGAATAAAAATTGCGCATTATGAAATCATTTGGTGCATTTCATAGGAATTTAAAAATTAAAATATAATTATCCTTATTGCGAAGCTAAAAGCTTACATAAATGTTTTATGGAAACCTTTTGTTTGGGTTGCTGTACAGCAGCATCAAAGACTTGGCACCACGGCAGCGTATATTCAAATGTTAACTATCTACAGACGATATTTAAGGTAAAAACTAGTTTATATGCTTTATTGTGTGTAAAAACTTGTAAAACTAGCAAAAAAATTATAAGGAATTTTTTTTATTTTTAAAATGGCCATTTTTAGTTAAAAATAAGGTATTTTTTGCATATAAGCTAAGCAATGTAAAAAATCTATGTCTATCCCCCAAACTAAACTTCCTTTGAGGACTGTATTTGAAAGGCTATTAACTATGTTTTGAACTATTATCTTAAAAGCAAATGGACATAATATTGAGTTACAGATCAATGTAATTTAAAAAAAAAATCGAATTTTAAAAATTTCCGGACTTGTTTGGGCAAAAAACATATGCATAAAAAGGAAAATTTTTTACTTTTTTTCTCTTAGTCTGTAATTCAAAACATGTGTGCTATAATCATAAACACTCATTAATAATTGTAGACAATGATTTTAAAAACAACATGCGACATCGTGTTCAAGGTGGTGTAAAATGTTTAAAAATCTGATTTTGAGATAAACGCATTTAATGACTTAAAGTCACTAGTCCATCCACTGTTGTCAAATTGCACAAAAACTGCTATAAATTTGTAAATATTTGGAGTACAAACAGCAGAAAAGTATTTTTAGAAAGTTTCTAGTTCAGGGATTTAAAATGTATAATAAACTCAATTTCGAAAATTTTGTTCAAAACTATGCCAGATGCCTTAAAGTTCGCCTACATGGATGTTTTCGGTAGTGAAAATAATAGGTCTCGTTTAGAGTAAATTGGCCAGATTTTGGTACACTTATTCCATTACAAGTGTTTGGATTTAAATTACACCCTTTTAAATTGTAAATAAAAGTTTTGCTTGGGGTTAATCAGTTATAAACGTTATACAACTTTTTGGGTTAGTCAACATCATATTTAGAAAGATATTACACCACAGTCTTTATTGTGTATTAATCCTTTAATTAATACAGTGCAGTTATTAAACTGTTTTAAAAATATCCAATTCACCAACCTTTTACCTTGTAGATCAAAATCAGAGACTTATTCCTCTTTTTTGTAAATTTCATAAACTCAGATAATGCAGCATAGGAGTAAGTTTCTAAATATAAAAAATTAGACCACAAATGCTTTTCCTTTTCTCAAAACTGTGGCTTTTCTCCATATTGACGCATTGCTCCATTTCCTGAATAAACATAGAGGAAACTGACTTAAGATAGGCTAAATTTGACCTAACGTTCATGAGTAAACTCACATCAATTATGAAAATAGCATATTATTCACAAAAAAACATCATTTCATGGACCACAGAGCCTTTGAAAAACAGCCTTAAGAAAAATAAATAATCGTTGTGGTTAATAGAATCAAAATATCTGGTATTTAAACCATTTAATTGGTATTTTCTCCTTTCATATTGTAATGATTTACAGGAAATTCTGACTTAAATTAGAGTTCCTATTAAATCTCATTAAGCTTAAAGTACAAAACTTAGTCTAAATGTGTAAAAATGATAGGGATTCTTATAGTTATAGGTAAAAAAAAGTTCACCTAACAATAATTAATTAAAGAACAATATAAAAATATATTTAAATTACATAAAAGAAGTATATGATGTGTTACATTTTTATATACCAATTTTATTATTCCTTCTCCAATTTTTAAATTTCACCAAATTTAGAAAATGACTAATAAATGATACAGGGGGAAATTATTAAACTATATAGGAAAAGCATTTCAGGTATAAAAAAACATATATGTGGTTAATAAAATTAAAATATACTGCTTTTAAAAAATTCATTCAGTAATATCACTATTTATATAATAACGGTCTATTGAGATTTCTGGTTTTAAAAATTATAGTTCTTACTATCACAAATTTTGCAAAAAGTTAATACTGAAAAGTGAATTTAACTGAATAAAGCATTTTTCTGCCATCGTCAAAGGTATCGTAGGTATCTACCTTATTTACTAAATACTATAGAACATTATTTTATTGTTAATTTTACCAAAGCGCTTCAGTAAAAATCACCAGAGCTTTATGGTGTTCCCATAAAGCCAGAAAAAAGGTAAATTTTACCATATTCTGGTAGTTTTCACCATACTTTTTTCTCAGTATAGAATAGTATGTATTTAATGGACATAAAAGAGCAGCAGTAAATAGTAATTAATGATAAAAATGGCGAAATACACATAATTTAAAATCAATTCAATTAAATAAATTCGTCTTCCTTCGATACTTAAAAATATGAAAATTAAATTATAATAATGTTTCAAAAGTGAGAAGTTTAACTAAAACTGTTTAGGGAAACTGTCATACACTTAACAGCGTTATTTATTATGATGATGCGGTTCAGTAAATAATCCTCTCTACACAAAATCCTCAGTAGAAGATAATGCTTAGGTAACGCTTGATTATTTACGTTATCTAAGGATTACATAAAATGAGAGTAATCATAAAAGAAAAGAAGAGCTACGAAAGGTCTGCGATGTTACGAAAAATGTTGTTCATTCAACCATGTTACTCAAAAAAAATCGCACGAATTTACTTTCTCTCTATATTTCTTTTTCATTAACAAAAAAAATCCTCCTAAACAATTCTATTTTCCATTAAAAACAATATTTTTTTATTATTTAAACTCATTAAAGTTTGCATTCATAAGGCATTGATGAATGCTCAGTAAATTTTACGCATTATTAACTTCATTAGGCACAAAGAATTCAATCATATTAAGATAAAATCAGTATGACGCAAAAATTTTGAAAAATTACTTAAATTTTTAATTTTGCCATAATTTAATTTTCATTTGATCACTTTCAGCAATTATGCATCAATGATATTTATCTTACATTTTACAATGTGCTGGTGGAAGTTCAATGAAGAATAAAAGAAATTTCTCATTTTCCTGTATATTTAAAGACATACTTATAAATTTGACAAACTAAATTTCATCCTCTATATTTTTTCAAATTACAAACTTTTAAACTTGCTTAAGAAATTATAACTTCCACTATGCAGTCAAGTAAAAAAATTCATCTTGTAGTATTGTTTCTTTAAAAAAAAAATACTCGATTTAAAAAAAATGAAAACACGAAATCATTTGATTGTACATTCAGGAGATATTTTTTATTTATATATGTCAAATTGGTTTTGGGATATATTGAAATTCTATGATAAAATAATATAAAATATTCCTACATTTTAAACTGTAAGAACGCTCTTTATACTTAAAAACCATTCAGAAAATCAAATAAATGCCTTCATTAATATTCTTACTTCACATTCAAAATGTGTTTGTGAAAGCTACAGAAATAGCAAGAAACCTTTAAGAAAAGACGTTTAAAACAGGACTTTCGTTTAAAAAAATTATCTTTCCTAATGTGACACTTAAGTTAGATAGCAGAGTATTCAATTATTTCAGTCTTTATCAGCCAATTTTGCTTATTTGATTATTTTATAAATACTTATTTTTTCACTTTATCGGTAATATACATACGAAATATAATATAGATAAGTTGTGAAATTACAAAAAAATTTCATAGATATTTCTATGGTCAAAAGTTAATTAAAATGCCATAAGGTTTAAACGTAGGTTCCTTTTACAGATAATTTAGAAGAAATACTACACAGTAAAAAAATCAGAATATAATTCTGGGAAAAAAGTAACATTTTAGTAAGACAATTTTTTTAAAATGTGCTAGAAATGTATAAGAAATATTTTTTTTAATATTATTTATTTAATTAGGTAATTTAGTTTCAGATACTTAATAGAGAGCTGGCATGAATTAACCCGAAAAAGAGAGTGAACCTCTTCCCCATTTAAAGCCCAATAAGCACAACAATTAAAATATAAATTTGACATCAGAATATACATTCGTTATTATTCAAATTTTTTAATTATCAGAAAAAATCTATACGATTTCATATTAGCCAAATCTCATTCACTACTGCTTTTGCAAGCTAAGTAAAATTATATGAATACTACGAAACAATGATACATTGTAAAGAATGCCAATAATGTTTTAAAACAGGTCATAAATGATTATCAACATATTATGTGGCTGTAGAAAAATAGATTATCAGAAAATAAACTTGTGAAGTTCATCAGGAAGTGTGTTATGACGCCGTAACATGTTACAGTCAAGTACGACTAACTTGTTGCGAGGAGTTTTAATTCAGTATATAAACCCACCGATGTCAGTTTGTCCGTATCAGTGTCTATCAAGCTTTAAGTTCTCAGCCAGCTCTGAAGTAAAAAGAGGTATATCTACTGTTCTGTTTTATAAATTGTGTGTGAATTTACTTGGATAAAACGTACAAAAATGGATAAGTAACATTTTGCAGATATCGTTTCATTTTAGCTTTAATATCTACATTAGCCTGTTTTAGGTACAAATATAATAGTAATAAAGTTTTTAGTAATAACATAATTGATATATTTAGCCTTACGCTCCTTAATTGATCCATTTTTTAAAATCAAAACTAGTTATATGTAAAATTTGCATAGTTAAAGTACATATTCGCCTTATTTATTCAAACATGGTAGTTATATACGTAAAAGCAGCTTTTTAAAACTCAAAAAATTGAATGCAATTAGATGGATGTAATATTGTTAATGTACTTACTTTATAACGTCTGTTTTTTTTTCTTCAACCAGTTTTTAAATTTCAATTTTATTTTTCCCCTTTATGCTAACAATTTTTACTAGAATTTTAGTTCAAGCAGAGAGATAAAAATAGTTAATTATTCGATTTTATTTCCCAGAATTTTGCGTTGATTTCATCACTCTAATTTTATTCAGATTACCAGTATTAGAATAAGAATTCGTAGTTTGTTAAGAATTCATTTTTTATTATACCCAATTTTACGTAAGAGTTGCTACAATTTTTTCCATTAAGAATTTAAAGAAATAAATAACATTTATTTTTCATTTGATTTTTCATCACTGAAAAACTAATTAAAAGATAAGTATGATTAAAAATAACCTTTCCTTTTATTTTTTAAAATAATATACTAAATTAATATCCCCTTCATTTTTTAAAAAAATATATTGAATTCATAATAAATCAAAGTTCAACAGAACTTATTTCTTTTCCTCGAAAGCTTGCATTGAAATTAAAAAGATAAAAATACCCTAAAAAGAAATAACAGCAGAAAAAATTAGAAGTATTTGTATGCAACTGACAAGCATCGTTAATAATAACATAATTTTTTTATTCCCTATAATTTTCGGTTTAGTTGCATTTGAATGTAATATAAACTAATAAAAAACAGAAAAAAAATGAATTAATATTATAATCGTATAATATATAAATATAAGGTTTATAATAGTAATTGTAAAGTTTAAGTAAATAGTCATATTTTGTGTAGTTATTTTAAATCTTCGAATTTTTCCCGACAGACGCTGTTAAACTAACAACTAACATAATAAGTATTTTTGCTGTACCTACAAAGGAAATATAACTGTTTAGTAAAATGATTTTTATACGCAGCAGATCAATTTCAATTATCAAATTTACTATTTTCATTTATCTTAAATAACATAATGAAACGTTTTAGAGATGACTTAAATATTATTTTAACTTATAAAAGGGATTTTTGCGATATGCTTATTATTTCTAACGAAAGAAATTGGATAAAGAATTTTCTGTTAAAACTATTGTTACTTTACTGCAATAAATAAATTTAGAAAAAAAAACTTGAAAAAACTCAGAAATTGTTTTTGTGATAGGAGGAAGAAACAAAAAAAAATTCTGAGACAAGAAAAGCATCTTAGTTCTTTTAAAGGAAATATAATTTAATAAATTTTTATATTTTTAGTCAATAATATAATATTAGTTTTTACTTCCAATTTTATTATCATGACTAATGTGTTTCTTTTGTCCCTAATTTCTGTAATTCGAGACTCGGTGGCTCACCAATCAGGCACCGCAGGTTCAAATATCAACGATAGAACATCAATTCGATTTCTACTTTTCACTCGCACCGACCGCAGTGCTGATACAAAATATCATCAGTGGATGACGGATAATGGATTTAAATCCCTTTACCGTCGGGTTAACGATAAGAGGTTTTCGTGGTTTTCCTCTCCATGCAACGCAACAGCAAAGTTTGAAATAAAAACTCCATGATTTTAATTTTTTAACAATGTATGCTCTGGAAGTACCCTTGTCTGCTGGATAGGGCTTAATATACAAGGCTACAGAGCTGGACATTAATAGTTGTAAACTCAAAATTGAGTTAGATTTCAACACCGATTATAAAATAAAAATCTACCTATATTTCATATCTGAATAAATATAATTAACTAATTAAAATGTTAGAAAGTTGTTGAAAGTTCCTGCAAAACTTCATAAATACTTAAGATTTTTATTATTTTTTTTCAGATGGTGCTCAACATGAAGGCCAGTTTGGTCTTCTTAGTAATGTTGGTTTACCTGGTTTCTGCTGATCCTATACCAGAGCCAGGACCAGAACCGCAGTAAGTTTTGTTATAATGAGTATATTTTGTTACGTAAATAAAAAAAAGGAAATTAGGGAATAAGTTATAAGAGTTGCAATTTAATTTTGACGCAAACGTTAAAGAAATACTGACAAATTTTTTCTTCTGATTTTCTATTATAGAGTCTTCAAAATTAAATGCATTTAAAATTTATCTAATATTTATTTTGTATAAATCACTTGTTTTACATGCTGTAAAAACGCAGCTGACATTTAGTATAGAAACGAAATTAACAAAGAATATAGGTCATATTTCATAACAATTTACTAGATCTTAGTTAACAAAAACTACATATTAGGTTAAAAATATGTCTCATGAAATACCTGATACACATTAGATATTTTTTTTGAAATGAATGAAATTTGCATTCAGCGCAGAAAAAAAATGGGATACCTTAATAACTGTTGATCAAATGATCGATCTTTCGAGAATTAATATGCAATCTTAACAGTTCGATCGGCTAACCTTAAATGCGCTACACAGTAAAAAATTCCGGATCTAATCAAATTACGGTATAAAGTACTGGTTGCATCGTCCGTGAAGTCCATTTTAGTGTAAAGTATTATACTGTTTTTCACAGTCATATTTATTTAATTCGTGTGATTCTGTGATTTTACGGTAATTTGTACCATAAAAATTAGGGTACATTAGATTTTTTGTTTCACAGCATGTTCCGGAAATAAATTTTGGGTAAAAAAGAACCAGCTCTATGAGTTTCTATATTTTTTACAGTTATTTGATCTGAAATTTTTCACAGTGAAATTAATTTGTATACAGGACATTTTAAGTTATGAAATCAGACAAAAGTATTTCTTCTAATTAAATATGCCTTTTCTCTCGATAGAATTAAATTTTTCAAATTAAAAAATGAAGAGTAGCCATCATTTAGAAAATATCACCCCTATCGTTTTTCAAGGAGAGCATTCAAAAATTTGGAGTTTTTGTACCATTAAAATAGCTTTTTAGTTCTTGGAAATCTAACCGTTAATCTAACCGTTGGAAATCTAACCAATGTTTATGTTATTCTAAACCTATATATTGCATAAATCTTATAAAGTATCCTAAAAGAAATTTACTTAGCGCATTGTGTATCCTTGTTGCTACTATTTACAAAAAAACATTATTTTATTTTTATTTTTAGTCATCATGAAGAAAAGAAGCAGGTTATTGTTATAAAAGATCAAGCTGAGCATCATCATCACCATCACCACCATCATCATCATAAACATGGTCATGACCATAAGCACGGGCATGAACATAAGCATGATCACAAACATGGTCATGATCATCATCACAAGCATGGACATGATCACAGTCACAAACATGGACACGATCATCTCCACAAACATGGGCATGATCATCATCACAAACACGGGCATGATCATCACCATAAACATGGTCATGATCATCATCACAAGCATGGACACGGACATCACCATAAACATGGTCATGATCATCACCACAAACACGGCCATGATCATCACCACGGACATGACCATCATCATAAGCATGGACATGACCACAAACATGGACATCATCACCTGCACAAACATGGACACGATCACCATCACAAACATGGACATGATCACCATCACAAGCATGGACACGATCACCATCATAAGCATGGACATGACCATCAACACAAACATGGACATGATCATCATCACAAACATGGCCACCATCATCTTCACAAGCATGGGCATGATCACCATCACAAGCATGGACATGACCACCATCATGGCCATAGCCACCATCACAAGCATGGACATCATCACGGCCACCATCATGGACATCATCACGGCCACCATCATGGACATCATCACGGCCACCATCATGGTCATGATCACCACCACAAGCACGGACATGATCACCACCATAAACACGGACATGACCACCATCACAAGCACGGACATGATCATCACCACAAACATGGACACGGCCACCATCACAAGCACGGACATGACCACGGACATCACCATAAACATGGACATCATCACGGCCACCATCATGGACATCATCATGGTCATCATCACGAAATCAGTCACCATCACGGTCACCATGGTCACAGTTTGGGTGGATCCAGTTATGGCGGTCTTGGTGATCATAGTGGTTTCTTTAATCTTGGAAGTGACTTTAAATTGTAAATTCAGAGATAAAATGACTTATTTAACTAAAGAAAGTGGCAACATCTTAACAGGTAAACATCAAGCACTAGGGGTATTTCCAATGGTCAGGAAGTTTGATAGGAGTATGCCTCTAGCTTTCCATCATCCATGCATATTTTATCATTAAATAGTAGATAAAGTGTATTAATAAATCAAATGTTTTTTAAGGATGAAGGACTATGATCAGTTTTGTCCCCCTAGCTCATATGGTATTATTTATTGTCCTGGGAACGGTGTTTATAATCGCTTTAAATCTAAATCTTTTATAAATCATTGCACAATTAATTAAAAGTTTGATAACTCATTATAATATTATTTATATTGAAACACACTGTGATAGCAGGATATTCATTACTAGCACAAAGAACAACCATGTGTTGTTACAGCCAAATAATTGTTTGGTGATGATAATTTTTCTTTTAAATTATTGATATTTATTTATTTATGATTTCGTGTATAAGTGTATGAATGTGACATTCTTTTGTGTAAATTAATCGGCTGATGGTTGAATAAAAATATAGGTTTGCTAAAAAAAATGTTTTATTTATTTACATAGTCCATATTAGTAGAATATTCAGAAGAAAAAAATATATGTATTGCGAACAGCTTAACTGTTTTTCATATGTGATATACATCTTCTACATTCCTCTCTGTTGACTTAATTTCTTTCAATTTAAAATTTAATCAACTCAAAATTTATTAAAATTTATTATTAACCAAATTTATTATCCAGAAGAACAACCACATCATTTATAATACAATTAATCTTAACAATGAACTAAAGTTGTGATTTTAGTCAGCAAAAGATTTTTGCAAGTTGCTCTTCAAAAAGTTTTTCCATAAGTATAGGACCTAATCAATCACATAAATTTTTTTCTCCCAAACGATATTATTTTTCAAACCAAAATTACGTTCATAAAATATTTGATATTTTTCACTAAAATATTTATTTAATTATTCATTAGTTAACGGTATTGCCAATATTTCACTTTAAAGAACAATAATTTTGTCAAAATTTGTTGCGAACTTAAACGCGGATAAAACCTGTCGTTAACAAGTTCTTTAAAAGTTTGTTCTTCGTTATAATTTTTTTCTAATATAATTCATTAAAAGCTTTGATAATAGATAGTTGACATTGAAAATTAAAAAAAAAAACGCTTTATTACAAAATAGAATTTAACTTTTTAAAAAATTTTCAATTTTGTAATAAATAGTAGTTTTTCAAAAATTTAGTCATTTCAAGTTATTTTCATATTATAATCATCCTATAATTTTAGGTCATGATAGGTTAGGCTAGGTTTGTAACTATTTGGTTAGTATTTCTTTTTTCAAAATGATACTTGCCCTTGATTAGATAAAGTTATAATAAAGTTTACGCTGCATTCTTTACAAATTGAAACAAAATAAGTTAAACAAAAATTTATGGCATTATTTATAATCTGATTAAAACCTATAGACATTTACTTTTCTGTTTACATATTGCTTAGTTAAAATTTATGTTGTGAAGAAATCGTACAATATCCGTAAATTGAACACTCTTTTTATTTTTAGCATTTATCTAAAAGTATGAATATTAAAAAGGAAAATTTTGTGTAAAATAAGGGTATTAGGTAAAAGTAGGCTTGCCAAAATTGAAATCTTCGTGAAAAATACCCAGACAGAAGCACAACGTTACAAAAAACGTTACTTCGTTTTTTTGAATTTTTTACCTGCTTAAATTAAAACTACGCCATGGATAGAAAATTTTGTAAAAGTTTGCATGTCCTGTTTGTTAATCCAACAAAATACATGTCCGAAAAAAGTTTCCCGGGTTAAAAAAATGCTTAAAGCATGTCAATGAAATAATTTGGACATATCTATCAGCAATCTATCTAACGAATTCTCTGATATTAATAGAATTATATGTACATTAACATTTTTATTTGTAATAAGTAAAATTATTCAACATTTTTAACAAGGAAATGTTAAGTATGAATGAGTAGTATTGCTGGAGTACCATGGTAGTATATGGTGCATTGCTCAACGGTTATTTTACATGAAAACACATCAAAGGAACTAATTTTCTGCTGTTGCAAAAGCTAATATAAATTTCTTGTTTTACACCTAATTCGCATTAGCTAATCTAAATGCAATGCATTATTATAAGCAAACAAGCATTATTAACAGCCGATTTAAACTCTATTGGCAAATGCAAGGCTTCAACATGTATACGTCGTCACGAGTAAAACATTCAAGGTTCAATGGGCGAAAGCTTGAAAGTTCTACCTCACCAATGCTTCTTCTCATTTAATTATTTACTTTTCTGACTGCCCCGAGAAAAATTTAACAGTCAAAACTACGAAAAAATGAGGAAATTTGCAGTGTATCTAATTCCATACAAACACCAAAAAACTCAGTAATTTTTAATGAAGTACTTTGATAATGATTTTGCTAAGATCAACAATAAATATGGTTTCATAATAAATGATAAATTTCGGTAAATGTAATAAAATTTGGTAATTTTATCATGATTCATTAGAGCAGAACATAAATCACTTACTTGGTTGGATTTACTTTTCAGTTTTGTATTTACTAAATGTGTGGTAATAAGAACAATGATTTTGAAAACCAGAATTCCTGGTTGACAGTTACTATTTGAACGGAAAAATTACCAAATGAATGGTTTAAAAACCGTAAATTTCAGTTTATAAACCAAAATTATGCTGAATTTTCTTACCATAAATGTCATTACTATACAGGGCGGTAATTCTACCAGATTTCTTTTTCTGCACGTGAACAAGCTGCATCGCTAAGCAATATCAATTCGATTCATCTCCCTAGATCTTCTCTCACAGGCAAATTCAAAAGTTCCAATTAATGATCTAATGATCCATCAGTCGCAATGTTCAATTGCAAATGATGAATCTAAGTTTGAAGATTCTAAACCAGTTTTTCTGGCATTTAATTGTTAATTTTCTCCCTGATAAAGCTGCATCAAGAGAGAATTCATAGGATATTTCTATGTCCGACCGGAAAATGGAGTAAAAATAAATGTCCAATTGCAATTTTTACATAAACTGGAATTACGGGCAGTATATTTTACATTACCCACACCATACATTAATTAAAACAACTACAATGGTTATCGTTTGAAACTTGAAATGTTCAGATTAGGAATCTACTCAAAATTTTTAAACCTATCAGAGAGAAAACAATAGTATTTCAAAACTTTTAACATAATATATATATTTTTTATGCTACGTTTCAAACATAAACTATACAGTGAAACGTAAAACTATGCATACCCTAGGAATTTCTGTTAAATCTAATTTTTAATATGATCTTTAGTAAATATATTAACTGCATTGAAAAAAGAATATTGAAAGAGATTATTTAAAAATCAAACAATTAAAAGGCACATGTTGGATAACTTATGAAAAAAAAATTGCAAAATACCTTTCATGAAAAACAAATTTTAATTTCCCAATTTTCAACAAAAACGTATTTAATAATCGCATAAATTCTTCGATTAATGAAGTAAATTTTTTTTGCATATTATTAGAAATGCTTAGAATGAAATAGTTGCAAAATCAGTTTTATGCCAGCCGTTATGAGTTTCTAGTTGCAATTCATTCTTATTATTATATGGCGACTGTCCACAAACAAACATTTTTTTAAAAATTTTTCCAAATGTTTTCCATTAGATTTTGGTCAGGGTAGTAAGATGTAAAATTCATAACGTCAATTTTACTTTGTTTGAGCCAGCTATTAGTTCTTGTTCTAGAATGTATGAAAAGGTTTACTTGTTGAAAAACAAGCTTAGAATTTTTATACCTTTTCAGAAACGTTGTGTGTTTGTCTTTTAGAGCTATTTGATAGTCCTTGCTCATCATTGTATAAAATGAAGGCAAAGTTAAGTATACCTTGTTTACTATAAATTCTTCAAACGTCATGATGATTTCTCCCGAAAAATTTCTTTTTGAAAAATATTTCTTGTCGCAATACTCATCTGATCTGCCTTTTTTAACCACTAAAAACAGTCTATAAGAGACTATACAGAAAATAATGTTTTAATTGCAACAAGAATTGGTTTCCTCGGTTTACTTTAGGCTCCCCAAAACATTATGACTTCTCAAGGAAAATATTTTTTTAATTTATCTTAAATAATAAGAATATTCATGTGATCCGTCTAAACGACTTTTTTTTCAGGACTAAAAGCAGTCTATAATGAAATATAATGCAGGAATAACATTTTCGTTACAACAAAAATTGATGTTCTGATACTTGTGAATCGGTGCTGATTTTTTTCGACAGAAGTTTAGTCTTGAAACTTTGTGATGAGATTTAACTCTTCATTTTAGAAACCCCAATGTCTGAATTCCGCTTTGTTGCCCGAAGAACTGTATACGTAAAGGCATCAAGTTACTTTTCTCTTCTGACTTTATTAACATTTATCGACATATTTAATAATTGTTCGAATAACACTGACTTTATTAACATATATCGACATATTTAATTACTGTTCGAATAACACTGACTTTATTAACAGAACTTTATTAACTTAACTGACTTTATTAACAGATATCGACATATTTAACACTGTTCGAATAATATCACTTCTAAACGAAGAGAGTGCTTATGAGGATGACGTGTATATTTATTTAACTCACAATTGTGCTGTTTTGTCAAAAAAAAAAATTACTAGGTTTGCAATTGGTATAAATCTTAGTATACTGTAGCACTCTAGGCGAAAGCCATTTTATAGCACCCAAAAATTAAATTAGAATTTAAAATTTTTTAGAGGAACCGAGCAAAATAATAAGATTTATATTTTACCCCAAAAGAAATTAGAAGTTAAATTTGTGAAACAAACTCTACTTCAATTAATTGTGATCTTTTAATTAAATAATTTTACATTTCAATTATAAAATATAAAGTTATTATTGCGATCAATAACTTATTATTCAATCATTACTAGGGATCTTTTAATTAAATATTTAATTATGATGCAATACTATGTTTGTTGTCAAAAAATTATTAGTAGAAGTGAAGCGAACTGAGGGTGTAGATATTGCTTAACATATTGTGCTAATTTTTTTGCCTACCATGTGTTAATTTTAAGCGGCAAAATTCTGAATGGTATTCCTTAATATAAAAATATCCTAAAAGCAACCGCCATAAATAAAGATATGCTGAATAGAGAGTACGATGAAAACAAAGGTTAGTTTTCTATAATTATTTTGAGAAATATTGTTTATTTATTTTGCTATAAATAACATCACGGAAAATGATCCGCATCCCAGAAGAATGCATCGAACAGAGTATAAATTTCTTCCGTAGAAAAAGGACATTATATTTATTTGTGAACACTGAGGATTTTTATTTTGAAATTCTAAATTATTTGAAGACTAGAAGGTCTTGCAGTAATAAACCAGTTTCTTCTGAATTATTTCCCACTTTTTGATTTTACAGAGACCATACATATATAATTGTTACAAAGAAAGGTGGAAAATACAGATTTTAATAGGAAGCTCCGTTCTCTGCTTTCCACCCTCAACAAACCCCATAATTGTCTTTCGTTAATTATTTCTTTTTCTTACTTAAAAATCAATATTTTCCGCAAAAGAAAATTAGATTTCGCCAAAAATTGCATAATTATTATAATTTTATGTAAGAACACTTAAAATGTTAAATGTAACAAAATAAACGACTCTCTGTACGTGAAAAATAATCAAATGTAAACGAAAAATTTTAAATTTTGGAAAGCAGAGTGCGTTGTTCAATAAGAAAACTAAATAAGAAGTAATTTCACTCATTAACTACGTAATAGCAGCTCAAATATGAAACAGTTTGCATCTATAGTAAATTAAGCCTTTTATATTTCTTTAAAAGTTTTCATATTAAATAATAAGACTTATATCTGGCTACAAGTTTTTCTCTAGACCGGATAGCATGGTTGGTAGGGCGTTGGACCCATGTTCAAGAGGTCGTGAATTTGATCCTCGTCTGTCAAATTGATGGTGGTTGGTGCAAGTTAAATCTATTGAGTCACAAAGTCTTCCAGTAACAAATAATTCTTCTGGGAGTACTGAATTGGAGATTGATCGTTCTCTGGTTCAGGTCAAAAGGAATATCTGTGAATGAATGGATGTATGAATGGATCCACTCTATATGCGGGTTGTGACATATGTGTGTAAAAAAATCGCACAAATTTACTTTCTCGCTACCTTCCTTTTTCATGAACAAAAAAAATATCCTAAGCAACTCTATTTTCCATTGAAATCAATAATTTTTTTATTATTTAAACTCATTTAATCTTGCATTAATAAAGAATTGATCCATGCTCAATAAATTTTACATATTATTAACTTTATTAGGCACAAAGAATTCAATCATATTAAGATAAAATCAGTAAAACGTAAAAATTTCGAAAAATGACTTCAATTTTTCATTTTGCCATAATTTAATTTTCATTCGATCACTTTCAGAAACTATGCAATGATATTTATCTTACATTTTACAATGTGCTTTTGAAAGTTCAGTTTTTTAATTCAAGAATTAAAAACTTTTCTCTTTTTCCTGTATGTCTAAAGACATATTTATAAATTTAATAAATTAAATTTCCTTCTCAATATTTTTTCATGTTACAAACTTTTAAAATTTGCTTAAGAAATTATAACTTAACCAATGTAGTCAAGTATAAAAATTCTCCTTATATTATTGTTCCTTTAAAAAAAATACTCGATTTAAAAAAAAAATTAACACACGAAATCATTTATATATATCATGTTACGAATTATTTATATGTCACGAATTATTTATATATGTCAAATTGGTTTTAGGATATATTGAAATTCTATGATAAAATAATAAAATATTCCTATATTTTTAACTGTAAGAACGCTCTTTATACTTAAAAACCATTCAAAAAGTCAAATAAATGCCTAAATTCCTATTTTTATTTCTCATTTAAAATGCATTTGTAAAGGTTATAGAAATAGCACAAACCTATAAGACAAGACATTTAAAACACGACTTGAGTTTTTAAAAATTATCTTTCCTACTGTGACATTTAAGTTAGATAGCAGAGTATATAGTGCCAGAAGAATGTGAAAAAGTTTCATGCGAAAATGTTTATTTTAATGTTAATGTGATGTATTTTAATGTAATGTGAATGTAATGTATTTTAATGTAATGTGAATGTAATGTATTTTAAAGCGTGTTAGAATATGAAAATGTTAATGTATTTTAAGGTTATAGAAATAGCACAAACCATTAAAACAAGACATTAAAAACAGAATGAACAAACCTTTAAGACAAGACATTTAAATTTAAAAAAATTATCTTTCCTACCGTGACCGTAAGGTGCCTTCCCACCGTAAGTTAGATAGCAGAGTATATAGTGCCCGGAGAAGGAGAAAATGTTCAATTATTTCAGTTTTTATCAGCCAATTTTGCTTATTTGTTTATTTTATAAATACTTGTTTTTGCACTTTACCGGTAATATACATACGAAATATAAAATGTGATAAATTGTGAAATTACAAGAAAATTTCATAGACATTTCTATGGTCAAAAGTTAATTAAAATGCTGTAAGCCTTAAAAGGGGGTTCCTTTTACTGACAATTTAGAAAAAATACTACATTGTAGAAAAATCCTGATACAATTACGGTAAAAGGCATCGGTCTTCAGGGCGTCAGTACTCTTTACTCTAAAATCAATTTTTACCAGAACATGTTAAGGAACAAAAAAAAATATGTTATACTGAAATTTTTACAGTAATAATTACCGCAAAATTACTGAAATATTCTAATTAAATAAATATTACAGTAAAAATTAAGTTTTTAACGGTAAAATATAATTTCGGATGATGCACCCAAAAAGCCGGTACTGTATATCGTAATTTGATTTGGAATTTTTTACAGTGTATACACTTAAAGGCTTAAACTATCTATAATTATAAAACTGTATTAAAAAAATGCGCAAAAAAAGCATTTTTAAAAAGAAGTGTGATTTTCTGATTCAGTATTTTTAAAATATGTTAGAAATGTATAAGAAATATCTTTGCAAATTTAAACACAGCAGTGAAAATATAAGTTAGACATTAGAATATACATTCGCAATTTTTCAAATTTTTTAATTATGAAAAAAATCTATACGATTTCATATAAGCCAAATTTCCTTCACTATTTCTTTCTCAAAGTTCGTAAAATTATATAAATACTATGAAACAATGATGCATTGTAAGCAATACCAATAATGTTCATAAAACAGGTCATAAATGATTATCATCATCTTATTTGTTTGTAAAAAAATAGATTATCAGAAAATAAACTTGTGAAGTTCATCAGGAAGTGTGTTCTGACACCGTAACATGCTACAGTCAAGTACGACTAACTTGTTGTGAGGAGTTTTAATTCAGTATATAAACCCACCAATGTCAGTTTGTCCGTATCAGTGTCTATCAAGCTTCAAGTTCACAGCCAGCTCTGAAGTAAAAAGAGGTATATCTACTGTTCTGTTTTATAAATTGTGTCTGAATTTACTTGGATAAAACGTACAAAAATGGATAAGCAACATTTTGCAGCTATCGTTTCATTTTAGCTTTAATATCTACATTAGAGTATTTTAGGTACAAATATAATAGTAAAAAAATTAGTATTATAATAGTAATAAAGTTTTTAGTATTAACGTGCTTGATATATTTTGTACTACGCTTCTTAATTGATACATTTTTTACAATCAAAACTAGTTGTATATAAAATTTATATATTTAAAGTACATAATCGCCTTATTTATTTAAACATGGTAGTTAAATACGCAAAAGTAGCTTTTTAGAACTTTAAAAAAAGAATACCATTAGATGGATAGAATATTATTATAATGTACTTACTTTATAACATCTGCTTTTCTTACTTCAATCAGTTTTTAAATTTTCATTTCATTTTTTTCCCTTCATGCTAACAATTTTTATGACAATTATTGTTCAAATAATGAGATAAAAATAGTAAATTATTCGATTTTATTTCCCTGAATTTTACGTTGATTTTATTATTTAATTTTATTCAGATTACCAGTATTGTATTCGTAGTTTGTTAAGAATTCATGTATTTTATTATACCCAATTTTACGTAAGAGTTGCAAATTTTTTTTCCATTGAGATTTTGAAGAAATAAATAACATTAATTTTTATGTTGAATTTTCCCCACTGAAAAACTAATTAAAAAATATGTATCATTAGAAATACCCTTTCCTTTTATTTTTTAAAATAATATATCAAATTGATATCCTTTTTATTTTTATTAAAAAATATATTACATTAATTCTAATTCGAAGTTCATCAGAACTTATTTCTTTTCCTCGAAAGCTTGATTCGAAGTTAAAAAGAAAAAAAACCCGAAAAATAAATAATAGCAGAAAAAAATAAGAAGTATGCAACTGACAAGTATTGTTAATAATAACATAATTTTTTTTCCCAACACTTTTCATTTTAGTTGCAATTGAATATAGTGTAAACTAATCAAAAAATGTAAATTAATATTATAATCATAATATATATATGATTTTTGGTTTATAATAGTAATTGTAAAGTTTAAGTAAATAGCCATATTTTGTATAGTTATTTTAAATCTTTGAATTTCTCCCGACATACGCTGTTAAACCAACAACTAACAGAATAAGTATTTTTGCTGTACCTACAAAGGATATATAACTATTTAGCGAAATGATTTTTATACGTAGCAGATCAATTTCAATTATCAAATTAATATTTTCATTTATCTTAAATAACATAATGAAACGTTTTAGAGATGATTTAAATATTATTTTAACTTATAAAAGGGTTTTGCGATTTGCTTATAACGAAGGAAATTGCATAAAGAATTTTCTATTAAAACTATCGTTACTTTACTGAAATAAATAAATTTAGAAAAAAAGAACTTGAGGAAACTCATAAATTGTTTTTGTGATAGGAAGAAAGAATAAAAAGAGAAAAAAAAATTCTGAGACAAAAAGGCATCTTAGTTCTTTTAAAGGAAATATAATTTACAAATTTTTATATTTTTAGTCAATAATATAAAATCAGTTTTTACTTCCAATTTTATTATCATGACTAATGTGTTTCTTTTTTCTCTAATTTCTGAAATTCGAGACTCGGTGGCTCAGTGGATAGAGAGCACCCTTCCCAATCAGGCACCCCAGGTTTCGAATATCAACGATAGTAGATCGATTCTATTTCAACTTTTCACTCGCACCAACCACAGTGCTGATACAAAATATCATCAGTGGTTGACGGATTATGGGCTTAAATCCCTTTACCGTCTGGTTAACAACAAGAGGTTTTAGTCGTTTTCCTCTCCATGCTGCGTAACAGCGAAGTTTCAAATCAAATCTCCATAAATTATTAAAATGTTTATATTTTATTCAAATGATTGCGCTGTAGAAGAACCATTGTCTGCAGAATAGGGTTCAAATTTACGAGGCTACAGTGTTGAACATTGATAATTGTAAACTCAAAATTGAGTTGGCTTTCAACACCGATTATGAAATAAAAATATATTTATATTTCATTTCTGAATAAATCGAATCAACTAATTGGAAAGTTGCTAAACGTTCCTGTAAAACTTGATCAATGCTTAAGATTTTTATTATTTTTTTTTCAGATGGTGCTCAACATGAAGGCCAGTTTGGTCTTCTTAGTAATGTTGGTTTACCTGGTTTCTGCAGATCCTATACCAGAACCAGAACCGCAGTAAGTTTTGTTATAACGAGTATATTTTGTTACGAAAATAAAAAAAAGGAAATTAGGGAATAGTTGTAAGAGTTACAATTGAATTTTAAAAGCACACGTTAAAGAAATATTACTAAATTTTTTCTACATAATTTCTATTACTTAGCTTCAAAATTAAATGCATTTAAAATTTATCTAAATAATATTTTGCTTAAATCATTTGTCTTAAATGTTATTAAAACGCAACTGATATGTTGAATAGAGTTCAAATTAACAAGGAATATAGATCATATTTAACAACAATTTACTAGATCTTAGTTAACAAAAATGACATATTAGGTTAAAAATATGTTTCATATTGTGTCTCGTGCCTTAAGAAATACGTGATTTACATTCGATATTTTTTCTTATGTGAATGAAATCTAAATTATGGGCAGAAAAAGTGATGATACCTTAATAACTGTTGAGTCATTGATCGATCTTTTGCGCATTAATATGCAATCTTAATAGTTCGATTGGCTAACCTTAAATATGCTACACAGTAAAAAATTCCGGATGTACTCAAATTATTCAACTTAAATACAAGAATTTAGAAAATATCTCCCTTATAGTTTTGCAAAGAGAACATTTAAAAATTTGGAGTTTTCGTAACATTAAAATAGCTCCTTAGCTCTTGGAAATCTAACTATTAGGTAAAATGTTATCCGCGCCGTTATCCATACTTTACGCATTGTGTATCCCAGCTGCTACTATTTACAAAAAAAAAATTTTTATTTTTATTTTTAGTCATCATGATGAAAAGAAACAGGTTATTGTCATAAAAGATCAAGCTGAGCATCATCATCACCATCACCACCATCATAGTCATAAACATGGTCATGACCATAAGCNACCATAAACATGATCACTCCCATGGTCATGACCATCATCACAAGCATGGACATGATCACAGTCACAAACATGGACACGATCACCTCCACAAACATGGGCATGATCATCATCACAAACACGGCCATGATCATCACCATAAGCATGGCCATGATCATCATCACAAGCATGAACACGGACATCACCATAAACATGGTCATGATCATCACCACAAACACGGCCATGATCATCACCACGGACATGACCATCATCATAAGCATGGACATGACCACAAACACGGTCATCATCACCTGCACAAACATGGACACGATCACCATCACAAACATGGACATGATCACCATCACAAGCATGGACACGATCACCATCATAAGCATGGACATGACCATCAGCACAAACATGGGCATGATCATCATCACAAACATGGTCATCATCATCTTCACAAGCATGGACATGATCACCATCATAAGCATGGACATGACCACCATCATGGTCATAGCCACCATCACAAGCATGGACACGATCATCATCATAAGCATGGACATCATCACGGCCACCATCATGGACACCATCACGGCCACCATCATGGTCATGATCACCACCACAAGCACGGACATGATCACCACCATAAACACGGACATGACCACCATCACAAGCACGGACATGATCATCACCACAAACATGGACACGGCCACCATCACAAGCACGGACATGACCACGGACATCACCATAAACATGGACATCATCACGGCCACCATCATGGACATCATCATGGTCATCATCACGAAATCAGTCACCATCACGGTCACCATGGTCACAGTTTGGGTGGATCCAGTTATGGCGGTCTTGGTGATCATAGTGGTTTCTTTCATCTTGGAAGTGACTTTAAATTGTAAAATCAGAGATAAAATGACTTATTTAACTAAAGAAAGTGGCAACATCTTAACAGGTAAACATCGAGCACTAGAGGTATTTCCATTCGTCAGGAAGTTTGATAGGAGTATGCCTCTAGCTTTCCAGCATCCTTGCATATTTCATCATTAGATAGTGGATAAAGTGTATTATTAGGTCAAGTGTTATTTAAGGATGAAGGACTATGATCAATTTTCTCCCCCTAGCTCATAGGGTATTATTTATTGTCGTGGGAACGATGAAGTTTGTGTTAATTATTTTTTTTAATTTTTATTATCGTTATGAATCTAAATCTTTTATAAATCATTGCACAATTAAATAAAAGTTTGATTACTCATTATAATATTACTTATATTGAAAGATACTGTGAGAGCAAGATATTCATTATTAGCACAAAAAACAATCATCTGTTGATACAGCCAAATAATTGTTTGTAGATGATAGTTTTTCTTTTAAATTATTGATATTTATTTATTTATGATTTTGTGTATAAGTGTATGTATGTGACATTCTTTTGTGTAAATTAATCGGCTGATGGTTGAATAAAAATATAGGTTTGCTAAAAAAAATGTTTTATTTATTTACATAGTCCATATTAGTAGAATATTCAGAAGAAAAAAATATATGTATTGCGAACAGCTTAACTGTTTTTCATATGTGATATACATCTTCTACATTCCTCTCTGTTGACTTAATTTCTTTCAATTTAAAATTTAATCAACTCAAAATTTATTAAAATTTATTATTAATCAAATTTATTATCCAGAAGAACAACCACATCATTTATAATACAATTAATCTTAACAATGAACTAAAGTTGTGATTTTAGTCAGCAAAAGATTTTTGTAAGTTGCTCTTCAAAAAGTTTTTCCATAAGTATAGGACCTAATCAATCACAGAAATTTTTTTCTCCTAAATGATATTTTCCTGGGAACAGGAAATATGTTTTTAGGGGCACTGTTTATAGGGGTCCTGTGTAATTTTTCAAAAAAAATTACGTTTATAAAATATTTGATATTTTTCACTAAAATATTAATTTAATTATTCATTAGTTAAGGGTATTGCCAATATTTCACTTTAAAGAACAATAATTTTGTCAAAATTTGTTGCGAACTTAAACGCGGATAAAACCTGTTGTTAACAAGTTCTTTAAAAGTTTGATCTTCGTTATAATTTTTTTCGAATATAATTCATTAAAAGCTTTAATAATAGATAGTTGACATTGAAAATTAAAAAAAAAACGCTTTATTACAAAATAGAATTTAACTTTTTAAAAAATTTACAATTTTGTAATAAATAGAATTTTTTTAAAATTATAGTCATTTCAAGTTATTTTCTTATTATAATCATCCTATAATTTTAGGACATGATAGGTTAGGCTAAGTTTGTAACTAATTGGTTAGTATTTTTTTTTTTCAAAATGATACTTGCCCTTGATTAGATAAAGTTATAATAAAGTTTACGCTGCATTCTTTACAAATTGAAATAAAATAGGTTAAACAAAAAATTATGGCATTATTTATAATCTGATTAAAACCTATAGACATTTACTTTTCTGTTTACATATTGCTTAGTTAAAATTTATGTTGTGAAGAAATCGTACAATATGTGTAAATTGAACACTCTTTTTATTTTTAACATTTATCTAAAAGTATGAATATTAAAAAGGAAAATTTTGTGTACAATAAGGGTATTAGGTAAAAGTAGGCTTGCCAAAATTGAAATCTTCGTGAAAAATACCCAGACAGAAGCACAACGTTACAAAAAACGTTACTTCGTTATTTTGAATTTTTTACCTGCTTAAATTTACACTACGCAATGGATAGAAAATTTTGTAAAAGTTTGCATGTCCTGTTTGTTAATCCAATAAAATACATGTCCGAAAAAAGTTTCCCGGGTTACAAAAATGCTTAAAGCATGTCAATAAAATAATTTGGCCATATCTATCATTAATCTATCTAACAAATTCTCTGATATTAATAGAATTATATGTACATCAACATTTTTATTTTTAATAAGTAAAATTATTCAACATTTTTTAACAAGGAAATGTTAAGTAGGAATAAGTAGTATGGCTGGAGTACCATGGTAGTATATGGCGCATTGCTCATCGGTTATTTTACATGAAAACACATCAAAGGAACTAATTTTCGGCAGTTGTAAAAGCTAATATAAATTTCTTGTTTTACACCTAATTTGCATTAGCTAATCTAAATGCAATGCATTATTATAAGCAAACAAGCATTATTAACAGCCGATTTAAACACTATTGGCAAATGCATACGTCGTCACGAGTAAAACATTCAAGGTTCAATGGGCGAAAGTTGTAAAGTTCTACTCCACCAATGCTTCTTCTCATTTAATTATTTACTTTTCTGACTGCCCTGATAAAAATTTACCAGTCAAAACTGCAAAAATATGGGAAAATTTGCAATGTATCTAATTCTATACAAACACCAAAAAACTCAGTAATTTTTAACGAAGCGCTTTGATAAAGATTTTGCTAAGATTAACAATAAATATGGTTTTATAATAAATGATAAATTTCGGTAAATGAAATAAAATTTGGAAATTTTATCATGATACATTAATGCAGAGCATAAAATTATTTACTTGGTTAGATTTACTTTTCAGTTTTGTATTTTTTACTAAATGTGTGGTAATAAGAACAATAATTTTGAATGCCAGAATTCCTGGTTGACAGTTACTATTTGAACGGAAAAATTACCAAATGAATGGTTTAAATGCCGTAAATTTCAGTTTATTAACCAAAATTATGCTGAATTTTCTTACCATAAATGTCACTACTATACAGGGCGGTAATTCTACCAGATTTCTTTTTCTGCACGTGAACAAGCTGCATCGCTAAGCAATATCAATTCGATTCATCTCCCTAGATCTTCTCTCACAGGCAAATTCAAAAGTTCCAATTAATGATCTAATGATCCATCAGTCGCAATGTTCAATTGCAATTGATGAATCTAAGTTTGAAGATTCTAAACCAGTTTTTTTAGCATTTAATTGTTAATTTTCTCTCGGATAAAGCTGCATCAAGAGTGAATTCATAAGATATTTCTATGTCCGACCGGAATGTGGAGTAAAAATAAATGTCCAATTGCATATTTTACATAAACTGGGATTATAGGCAGTATATTTTACATTACCCACACCTTCATTAATTAAAAAAACTACAATGATTATCGTTTGAAAATTGAAATGTTCTGATCAGGAATCCATAAAAAATTATGCAACCTAAACCTATCAGAGAGAAAACAATGGTATTTCAAAACTTTAACATAATATATATATTTATTATGTAACGTTTCAAACATAAACTGTACAGTGAAACGTAAAACTATGCATACCCTAAGAATTTCTGGTAAATCAAATTTTTAATATGATCTTTAGTAAATATATTAATTGCATTGAAGAAAAAATATTGAAAGAGATTATTTAAAAATAAAACAATTAAAAGGCACATGTTGAATAACTTATAAAAAAAAATAATTGTTGCGAGATACCTTTCATGAAAAACAATTTTAATTTCCCAATTTTCAACAAAAACATATTTAATAATCGCATAAATTCTTCTATTAATAAAGTAAAAATTTTTTTTGCATATTATTAGAATGAAATAGTTGCAAAATCAGTTTTATACCAATCGTTCTGTGTTGCTAGTTGCAATTCATTCTTATTATTATATGACGACTGTCCACAAACAAAGATTTCTTTTTAATTTTTACAAATGTTTTCTATTAGAATTAGATCAGGGTAGTAAGATGTCAAATTCATAACTTCAATTTTATTTTGTTTGAGCCAGCTTTTAGTTCTTGTTCTAGAATGTATGGAAGCGTTTTCTTGTTGAAAAACAAGCTTAGAGTTTCCATACCTTTTCCGAAACGTTGTGTGTTTGTCTTGTAGTGCTATTTGATAGTCCTTGCTAATCATTTTACAAAATAAGGGCAAAGTTAAGTTTACCTTGTTTCCTATAAATTCTCCAAATATCATGAGGATTTTCCCCGAAAAATTTCCCGTTGAAAAATATTTCTTGTCGCAATACTCATCTGATCTGCCTTTTTTGAATTAA